ACATGAATAAGACGTGGAAATCTGTTGAAATGTAACAAAGACAAATGAGTGACTGCGAGAGAGTACTAGAAAGAGGTCGAGTACTTCGCAATGAGGCTTGCATGACTGCCTCACAACATTAATATATTATAATGCGATACCAAACATATACGGTCGGCTGTATTTGTTGATTTAAAATTAATTTTAATGAAGTTTACACTCAACGGCACACAACTTTATATCGTATCATAGAGTTCACAGCGTATTCGAAATAGTTAATTGTAGCTAAAATACCACATCAGATTATTTTTATCAGTAAGTATTGATTAACGAATAAAGGAATACGTTTCACAGTTTAACCGCTTTCATTGCAAAGTTTTGATTGAGTTTTTTAAAGTACAATATAGACATACCTAGTATCTATCTATTATATCTATCTATATTTGTTTGGTTGCAAAAAAAAATATATACAACAAAAATATTTCTGCATTCAAATGTTGATATGAAAACCACTAACGAGAATTGGACGCGGATCTGTCATTTGTGTTTATTCTCTGTTTCCACAATTAAACAACAACAGCACAGGAACATGAAGCATCAAACAAAACGTGCATTTTTAAAACAGTTTTTAGTATATTTTTTATTAACCAAAAAAGATATATTATACACGAAATAATAATAAAGCGAAATAACATCAAGGAGCTGTATTATTATGATATAATCATATATTCCATTCACTCAAAATCTCTTTACATGAAGTATAGCTCTGTTGAAATTGGGTTTCAATTACCGGGCTATAGATAATATAAAAAAAGCTTTTATGTTGTTGAATAATGGAAAAATTTTCAACTTCCAAACATAGTCACATCAGATTAATTTCAGTTATTAACGAAAAGTTTCAGCTTAATATGTGTAGACTGACACCGCGGCCAACGGGAATGGTTTAACTGACCTGCCAGTGCTATATATAAAACAAAAATAAAACAAAGATATGTTAATTATTCCATTCCATTTATTAAGACTTAATGATAAAATTCTAAAATCAACACGAAGTCTTGTTGGACTATTATTACAGTTACTAGCAAGCCAAGATAAGTTAATGGTTTTAGTTTTTGAATTTAAATTAAGAATTATAATTTACTTATCATTTTAAGCGTCTACCAATACATTAGTGTTTAAATTATTAATTAACTGTACATAATGTTTGTACTATCAAGGTTTATGTTTCAATGTTATAATATAAAGTATATCGTTAATTATTTTAATTAAAAAGCATATATTATACATATGTTGACAGTTACATGATTAAATAAAAATGAAATTATGAAAAATTTTTAAAATAAATTATTTTATTACTGCATATTACAAATAATGCAGAATTATTTTAGCAAAAATTATATTCTTAATGCATTTCTGCCATATAAAAGGCAATAGTGGTATGTATTTATATTTAAAAAAAGAGAGATTAAATAGTCGTTATTTCATAATTATTATTTAATTTCATAGAATACTTTATAAATTAATTAACATTTATAACAAAATAGTTTTCATACACTTCTTTAATCTTGATACAATATATGTATTATATCTATATAATAAATGTACATATATCGTGTGGAAATATCGTAAAAACTAGTATTTTTTTCTTCTGAAATAAACAAGCTAATTTCAAGGAAATTTTAATAAATTGGTATAAACTTTAGAAATGTTCAGTTCTTTTCATTAATTTTAACACAATTATGGTAATATTGATTTTAAAGAAAAACTCATTACTATACATATTAACATTACATACATTTTATATATATTTATATGTGTTTATATGTATTTATATGTATTTTTTCGAAACCCGACCTACTCGTAGACATTATTTTATATCTCTAGGGAAAAGACTAAGTCCCATTATCAATATAATGAAAGGATATGATTGAGACATTGAATGGATTTATTGATGCACATCGCAAAATATATAATGAAGTTTTATTAAAATAAGCACTTTTTGTTAAATTTAAACTTGAAAAGTATTTCAACAAATAGAGACAAAAGAATTTAGCCTAAGAGATATGGGTGTAAAGAGGACAACCCAAGATTATTGAAACTTTCTTGTACTTACGCCTAAACCATATGAACAGACTGTTTTGTAATCCCCAAAAAATATTACAATAAGAACTAAAAGTTTTATATTAAGAAACCTCTTTTGTATTCTTTAAACCTTTGAAATCGTTTTATATTAAATATTTTGATAGATAATGGAAAAAAATAAAAAATCCACATAGGATTATTTTTATAAATGTATTTTCTGTGTCCCTTAATACAGAAGAATCCCCTCATTATTTTTGGCCTAAGCTGAGGCTTTCGTTAAACAAGAAAGTGGGTTTTTTTACACTTGACACACATAATGCATATCTATAAAAGCTCCCAAATTTCTAGGGTCATTCAAATGTGAATTTTATTTTGCATTACAGAGTTTTTGTTTTCATATTCTTGAGTTATATTTGTACACTAATATTACTAAATTCTTTAATATTAATAAATATTTTATACCTAAGAGAGAGTTTTTATCATCCTAAGTGAACGATACTATATGTTGAACTGTAAAAATATACAAAGAAAATAATAACAGAGCTGTTGATGAAAAATAAACTTGGGAATAATAGTAAAAACAGTTCTAGGATGTTTTCTCTAATAGTTAAAAAATATATACATATCTAGTATCTACTTATTATTGAAAAAGTTTTAATATTATATATGTATATGTAATGAATATAAAAGAAGTGACAAATATGCAAAAAACTAAACATTAAAACATATAAGTACTACAATTTTGTGAAAAATTGTCTTATTTAAATTTTTAGTGACACTGCAACATAGCACCAATGAAAATTTTTCAACGACAAAAAAACAAAAATATCCTAACTGTCATCATTCTCACTTTACTTTTGAATACTGATTACTTTAAGTTCTTTGAAAATTATTAGGAAAACTGGGAACTTCAATAAAAAAATAAAAAAGTTTACATCCACATCCTGCAAAAATACTAGGTAAAAGGTTCCATTATTCTTTTCATTTTAAAGTGTTTAAATAACAAATAAAGCATTTATAAGAATTTAAAAGTTGGTAATCCTGTTGCTATAATGTACGTATAATATGAAAAAAAAGTTTTTCTATACACATATATTTTATTACAATATTTTAAAACTCACAAATGGCTGAAAGTGAAAACTAATTTAATTTCAAAGAAGCATACTAAAATAAATAAATGTTTATTCTGAAAGATAAAATTTGCTTTGAAAATATACCCAAAATAAATGTTTTAATTAAATTAGAACAAATAAATAATAAACATGGTACTTAATTTTAATTACGGTATGAATAAAAACAGAATACTTACTACATTTATCTAAATATTACATTGTAATCTCTTCAGTTCAATGCAGAAAAGTCATAAAATACCCAAACAACAATAGACACAAAATTTCAATTCACTTTAACACCAATGAAACTTAAATGGAAACTTAAGGATTCGGCCAATTTTCATCTCAGTTATAAATTATACAATACAAAGAAGATCACATTTAAGTTCAGTATGAACCTTAAAGGTCAGGAAATAATAATAATAGTTTTAGCTAGGAATTAATAAGTGGTAGAGATATACCAGGATCATGTGCCGCTGATTTGAGGATGCGTTCATAGAACACGTATTGTTTAAGGACTCATCATAAGAACACAGAGGGAGAAATACTAATTATTATTTATTTACACTGGCCGTGATATCGTTTGCATGATCAATCTTATAATTCTTACAAAAGTTATAATCATTTTTAAAATATTAAGTACAATGTTATCCAAAATAGAAAAAGCTTAAATTCACACGATATTCTTATACAACTGTAAATTTTGTAAACAACACGTGTATATTTTTATATGTTCATTGAAATATTAAATGAGAATGAATTTAAAAAATCTCGAATACTGGTTTAAAGCAAAATAAAAATAAATAACGAGACTACATAAATGCCTAACAAGATTTAAGTAAAAAGATAATATTTTCGGTTTGACAAACTTTTGTATATCTACAGATTACATAAATTGAATGTCTTGACTAAAATATCAGACTTACAAAATTTAAGGTAAAATTTTAAGTAAATTTCAACGTGAAGTTACGTCCTTAGCATTGTGACTCTCGACCCGCTTATCTCCCCTCTAGTTATCGGGATACCTCTTATACCGAGGTTCTTGAACTTATAAACTATGAAATGCAAAATTTCTTCATTGGGACTTAAAATCAATTGTACATAGTCAAATTATAAAGAAAATCAAGCATCAAATTCTAAGAATATATTATATAATAAATGTATATAACTGAAAAATAGCAATTCTCCAAATATGTGTATTTAGAGAAAATAAAAAAATGGTAATCAAAATTTGGGCTTATAAAATAAAAACAATCCATATTTTTGTAATGTTAAACAAACAAAGAAAATGTTTTCTATGTCAGAGTAGCTTCTGGATGCTATTAACATACTGATAACAATGCCAGAAAAGAATCATTAAAGGTGTTTAAGATTTTAGATAACAGGGCTGATTAAACCAACCTTGTATAAACATTTATAGCACTATTGTCACACCTATTTTCTTATTAAAATATTTATATATAATTGGCATGACTTTCTTTATTATTATTTACTTTTTCTTTCTTCTTTAAAGGGTGGAACACGAATCAAAAGGCCTTGGAGCAAATATAAGCTTAATGAAGATTATCCTACCTCCAATTTATAGCTCAAATTTTCCCCCAAAAAAAAACATTCCTGAGTCCTTCCATATTATAAAAAGTCAAAATCATCGCTAAGAAACATTCCATGGTCATTATTATTGTGAACGCTAACTAAGTGTAATCGTTAAACATACGTCGTAAATAGAAAATATAAAGACATTAAGAAAAAGAAGGGAGATAGTAAGAAAGACGCGCGTGAACCTCTTCGGAGGGCGCGGGGGGCCGGCGCGATGCGGTCTCGCCAGGGATGTACGTAATATATCCAGCGGACGAAGTAGTTTCCCTGACATACAGCTCGCATTCGCTGCCCCGGCCGCGGCAGCGACCGACCCTTGATATTATTATAGGGCCGCCGCCGCCCACGCCGATCAACGCGAATCCCCCGCCCTCACCCCCCGCCCCGCCCCGCGTCGTCTCGACCCCCAAAACGGCGCCCCCGGAGCTTGCGGAGCGCGCGCCGGCCTCGCCGACGCCGTCGCTTGAGCGGCCGGCTAAGCTGCGCGAGCGCACTAAAGCCAAGCTCCTTAAAAAACTTGGCCGCCATGAAGACAACGAGTTGGGAAAAATTATAAGGACTCCAGCCTTAGAAGAGTTTGAATTACCAGCACCGCTTCCTACACCAGCATTTTCAAGAAAAAACATATTTGATAGAGATTTCGATGCTCTTTTTGAGGTTGCAAGCACTCCTGAATTTTGTGCGAATATTCGCGTTACCACTCCGGAACCGGATCGTCGCTCTGATGTCTCGGCGGCGCATTTCCCATCACCTGCTACTTCCTCCCTTAGTCTTTTACCACCCCGTCCTCAGTCAGAGCCAGCGGCGACTCCTTCCCCAACAAACTCCGCTCGCAACTCCTCGCAATCGACGCCTCCAACACAACGATCATCCTTTGAAGGTTTTTGAAAAAAAGTTTGGGTTGCAGTGCCTATTCATGAACTAACTTGTTAATACTTGACAATCTACGTTCATCGTGCATGGTGATTGCATCTCTTTAACGCTGTGATTGTTTTGGCCACTACTAACTTGTTTATTTTTTTTTATATTTGAGTTTTATTTTTACTGATAATTTAAAACTTTAAATAATTCAACAATAACTAATAATTGCTCATGTTTTTTAACAGGAACAAATTCGAAACCGAAGAAAGTTAGTTTCTTCAGGAAGTTAAGCAGAGCAAAGGAACCTTCTCCTGCTAAGCCTGTCATCATGCAGCAACCATCCATAGAGATGGCTCTTCGAGAGCTGACACATCCAGCTCACAATGAACAACTAAAAAACCAACAGCAAGTGACGTTCAAATTGGTGAAAACAGGTAAGATTTTAAATGTTATTATTAGCTATAGCTAATAGAATTGTTTTAAATTAAATTTCCAAGACGTTATAATAAAACATAACTTCTGATATTTGAATCATAGGCAGTCAGAGATCGAGATATAATAGTATTATCAGACTGCACTGGCAGAAATCCTATAAACTATGTACGTGAATTGGTTACGGTATCACTCATTATTTAAATTGTAGACGCAAAAATAAAAAGGAAGAAAAATAAAACATAATACAAAGAGATGAGATGAGAAAATATCGATAACCAATATTTCTGGATTAATTCATAATACATATAAATAATAAAGCCTATAAACAGATATGCTGGGTTTCTAGTTGACATTGTCATAAAACCTGGAAAAAAGTTTTGCTAATTTAAATTATATCCAATGTTTCTTTTTCTCTTTATATTTGAATAATTACAATAAAGTAAACTATAAAATATTAATTTAATTCTAAAAGAAACAAATTTCACATGAATAGATAAATTAGTGGTAAGATTTAAAAGTCTATCCATGTTCCAGCTTTCTGGTGACAAGGGTAACTGTCAATAAGAACATATTTTCATTGGCTTTATCTTTGACACTTCGTATGTTAATAATTTTGGTAAATAACCATTCTATTTACAGTTAGATTTCACATTATATCTGTCAAATGAGAAATGCATAATACATTAGTCAGGCACATATGTAATCCATATAGTGTAATTTATTTGTTACCTCTCAAGTGAATACTCGTCAAACAATCTATGTAATTGTGATTGATATCGCTTAGTCTGGTTTTGGTGAATTAACTGACAATCATCAATTATGTTAACTGCTATATCTACTTAGTAAGTCTTATAAAGCTGTATAGCTCTAATAAAGTTTGAAGTGCTTGAAAGTCTATTTAAAACTATTTTAACGGTATATGGATGTAAACGATATTTTACTTACTTTCTGTCTATAAAAACTGATATTCATTTAAACGTTTCAAAATATAATTTACCGTTCATTCAATTATAAAGTGAATGTGAAAACTACAGCTTTTATTTATTTTATAAACCCGTACTGTGGTAGTTCTGAGTTTGATTCCACCAAAGCATTTTTGTACCACCTCGCAATACGCCAGTTTAATTGAGATTTTATTACCGCCAGTCCTTTGTGAACCGTTCTCTGGATTACCTTTTCAATTTCTCACTTTAAATTTATTGCAAAGCAAAAAAATGATTTTAATGTTCAGCATACGAGTATATACTATAGCGGGATAAATTTCCAGTATAATAGACGAAAAGCGGAATACTAATTCAGCTTTCATTAAACGGAATGATATCACAGGCTAGATCTGATCACAAACCCGGATGCTGTCCACTGCAATAGGTCCACTAAACGAGATTGCATTATCGAGAAATCGTAATATCTTTGGTTCATGGACTAAATAGAAGTTCGCTTTGATATGTCCTACAAAATGAAAATGTATATTCTTCACGTCCTAAAAGATTCAATCTCGTCAAGTGGGTTTAATGTTAGTTGAACATAATAAAAGCTATCTTATAATTCTATTTTAAATTTCAAATGTGGCCTCTTAAGTGAAGCATCATTGCCATTGTTGCTTTTGTAAGCAATGCTTTAAATGATTCATGGTTTTAAGCCAGTCTAACTTGTAAATATGTTGTATTCACTATATTAATAATCATATTTTTCTTACTCGTGATTATTTTATTAACCTCTCTGCAAAGGCTCTAAATTTCGGTAAATCACTTTAAAAACATGTCTGTAAAGGTAACATCATGAGACATATATTTTTTTATTAAGAAATTAAAATAGGCACGTTTCATATAAACCCACCAATTTGAATATTTAGTATAGTATAATAACAACTTATATTCTATGTTTCAAAATAAAATGGGGAAATGATTAGTAATATGGGCGCTTAAATATTTATAGCTTATAAATTATTTATCTCAATATTATCATACTTGTTTAGGCTTTTATGAATTAACGAGAAATAAACCCTTGGCGCTATTTAAATATTTAATGTTTAAATTGTTCACTGATTCGTAAATAAAACACAGTAATTTTATAAAGCTAATAATTGATTTATTACATAGGTCATAACTGTTGACCCGATGTTGAAGTTGAACCTGTATTCAATGATCTCTCAACCTGACACCAAAAGAAAGACTAAAAATCATCAGCTTTGAAGGAGCTGGAATTTCCATTTCATGCATAAATCTTGATAATTATACCCTATGCTTGAAAAAACAAATGAACGTAAATAGAATTTAGAACATTTTTCTATATTGTATGTAGTTATTTGACAAGTTTTATATTTGTTATAGTTATACATAAATGTTTGACCCAGATTCTCATACAGATTTTGATGGTCTTAATTAAATTACGTGTTAAACTGAGCGCTTTGTGATTCATATAAATTTGGAATTTGGTTCTAGAAATTCATACTTAGTTTAATGTAGAATAATCTGATAAGCACTTTTAGAAAGCTTGTTATTACGTACTTTTAGTTCGTTATTCCTCAGTATAAATCAAATAAAAGTTGAAATAAATAAAATTACAAAGAATAACAATATAAAATATTCAAGGTTTTCCATTTATGTACTATGCGTTCCGTATTCATTTCAATATTTGATATGAAACTAGTTCGTTCATTTCAATAATTGATAGGAAAAAGGGTTAGTTTTATATATAAAAAAAACATTTTAACGAAAGAATTGTTTTTCTGAAGAAAAAAAATTGTTTTTATTCGGCTTACATTCCAGCAACCTAATTCCGGATGAAAAGTATTATATAAAATTATAATTTAATATATGTAGATAAACCAATGGAAACATTCAGAGAAGAATCTTGTATCCATTACCATTACTGAGATATTTTAGAGATTAGGACTCACTTATTGGACATTCCACTCTTTTATTAAGTAGATTTTTTCGCATGTTTTTCGTCTTTGCATCAAATAACCATTTACAGAAAATACTTTGTCAATTGTATATTAAAATATTCTCATTAAATTAACTGTGACTGTAGTAAAATGAAACAGTAAAAGAATTTTTATACGTGAATTTTCACTTCATACAAAAGCCTCTTTTGAAATTAAAGAAGTTCCTAGCACAATATTCAATAACATTTAAGTGTTCAAACTTTCATTCCAACTGTTCAAAAAACATAACACGTCTTTAGAATTATCACATCAGGTAAAAGTTTCACGAGTTTTTGGAGTTCCACTTCTGGTTGTAATGAAGGTAAAAATATGTGTAACTTTTCTTTGTTTTCTTCCTAGAACATTTCACCTTAAATGTTCTTTAATTATAAATGTGTATACAAAATCAATAAACATTTTCAACATAAAGAATCTTGTCCCTACTAATATTATAAATGCGAAAGTAACTCTGTCTGTCTGTCTGTCTGTCTGTCTGTCTGTTACGCTTTCACGCCTAAACCACTGAACTGATTTTAATGAAATTCGGTACAGAGATAGAGTTGACCTTGAGAAAGAACATAGGATAGTTTTTATCCCAGACTTTTGAAAGGTTCTCTTGGAAACGCGATATAACCGAACTCCACGCGGCGAAGCTGCGGGCGGAAAGCTAGTAAAATAATAAAACAAAGACTGAAACCCTTTGAAATCTAATTTTCATTGATGAAACAGAATATTGTTATTCAAAGATTTCGATTGGACAATTAGACTCGTTTGTTGACTTGAATCATGAATAAATCCATTTGTAGCTTGATAATTATTTTAGAGTAAAGCTCAAATTTTATAAGAGGAGTCACATTTTACCTTATATATAATTATTTAATGTACATATTAATGAGGCAAATATAATAATTATTGTAAATAAATGCGTCACAAGCTATAAAATGTAATAAGATGAACAAATAAACCTAAAATAGTAAAATAAATTTATATGATTAAATGAAATTCAACTGAAGCAAAACGTTGACATTCATTCAGTCGAAGAACCTTAAGCATTCGTGCGTTATAAATTGACATCGCGAGATGACGCAAAACGATATTCGAAATTAATATAATCAAATACAACTTTGATACAAAGACAGTTTAATTTGTGTACATTCCGTGTTTTGATATTTTGCTTGAGACGTTTAATAATGGACTTTTTATTTTTTTATTACCAATTGATCAAAGTTTTATATAAATTATGTATGTATAGGTTATTTAAGAGGATATTGTATATTTAGGTAAAAAAATCTGAATGTATGTCACAGGAAGAGACAAAAAACTTTTTGAAATTCATCGATACTACAATCAAGTACAATGAACAAAACAATCTATTTTCGTACAGAAGGATGAGTTACACAGGGTACGGTTTACTCAGCCACAGGTTCCTTGAAAATTACATTGTTTCCTTTTTTGTTTATTACAAGAATTGCCTTATTAAGACTTATAACCTACAACTTAGTCAACACGATTACCCTTATGTTAGAATAAAAATAAAACTCCATTTCTTGTGTGGCATCAGGAATCTTCTGCTTTACACGTCGAAGTGTTCGTTTCTTGGAGTCAGTAGCGTCACTTGTTATATGACATATTATTTATCCAACACTGTTGCCCGGCGATGTTCGTTTAGTATTTAATATCTTTTGCTGATTTATAAATAAAATATACAATATTAGACCTATGAGGATACAAAATATCAAGTCCTTGTAGCAACAACTAGGGATAAGATATATTGCACTCAACACTGAAATTCAACATTAAAATATAAATTACTACTCCTTAAAAAAATACATTATTTGTCTCAATTATTCTAACTATGTAACAAGCAGAAGACAGTATTATTTAACAGTATTTAAAGCAAAATTAAACTAAAAGTTTTTATTCGTTGTAAAATTGTTATGGTTTTAACACTGCTTTGTTTACAAGAAATAGTCATAAAACACCAAAAGCATCTTCAAAAGAGTTCTGATCTATCAGCGGCTCAAAGTGAGGACTCCAGTAGGAAATGCAGTGAAAAAACCCTGAAATTTATTT